AAGGAACAGATTAGACACTTCTCAGAAGAAGATATACAAGTGATCAACAAATATATGAAAAAGTGTACAACATCTTTAGTAATTAGAGAAATGCAAATCAAAACTATTCTAAGATTTCATCTCACCCCAGTCAGAATGGCAGCTATCAAGAATACAAGCAATAATAATTGTTGGAGAGGATGTGGGGAAAAGGTACACTCATACATTGCTGGTGGGACTGCAAATTGGTGCAACCACTTTGGAAAGCAGTATGGAGATTCCTCAGAAAACTTGGGATGGAACCACCATTTGACCCAGTTATCCCACTTCTTGGCATATACCCAAAGGACTTAAAATCAGCATACTATAGTGACACAGCCACACCAATGTTCACAGTAGCTCAATTCACCATAGCTGAACTGTGGAACCAACCTGGATGCCCATCAATAGACCAATGGCTAAAGAAACTATGGCATATCTACACAATGGAATATTACTCAGCATTAAAAGAGATTATTACTCAGCATTTTCAGGTAAATGGATGGAGTAGAGAACATTATGCTAAGTGAAGTAAGGCAATCCCCCGAAAAATTAAGTCTGAATGCTTTTTTCTGATTAGTAGATGCTGATCTATGATGGGTGGGACATGGTGAGAATGGAGGAACTTTGGATTGGGCAAAGGAGAGGGTGGGGAGGGGTCATGAGCCTAGGAAGGACGGTGGAATGAGATGGACATTATTGCCCTAAGTCCATGTTCGATTGCACAAATTGTGCGTCTCTACACTGTGTACAACCAGAGAATTGAAATGTTGCATTCCATTTGTGAATAATGAATTAAAATGCATTCTGCCATCATGCACGACTAAGTAGAACAAATAAAAAATTTTTAAAAAGAAAGAAAAAGAAAGTGTGGATTACTGCTGCTGTTTGTGTATGATTTCAGTGCCCAGCCCCTAGCTCATATGGTAGAACCTTGGTCCCCAGTGTAATGGTGTCGAGGCGCTGGGGCCTTTAGAAGCGGTTAGATCATGCAGGCACCATCTTTGGAGGAATTGATGTTTTTCTCAAAGGTTTGGGTTGGTCCCTATAAGAGTAGGTTGTTTTAAAAGAGGGAGGCTCTCCTCTCCTTTGCTCTCTTGTTTCCTTTCCTCACACTGCTAGTTCCTTTTTGCATCTCCACCATGACTTGATGCAGGTCTCAGACACTGGGTCAGAATCCTGAGCCAAGTAAACCTCCTTCCTTTTTATGTCACCCAGTGTCAGGTATTTTGTTACAGCAACACAAAGTAGATGAGGACAAGGGAGAACTTGTCCAGAGTCTGGACAATAAACCACTGGGGAAACTGTTGGGCTATCCTCACCCTGGTTGAAGAAAGCAGCAGAAAGGCCAGGTCTGGGACAGGAGTATGCAGAAATACGCAGGGGACAGAGTGCAGGGTTGAGGAGGGGTGGCAGGAAGAGCAGGTCACACACCTGGGCCTCACCTGGGTGGGACTGAGGAACCCCAATGCCTGGCTCTCCCCTGGAACCTCTTCTTTTCCTCTCCCACTGTCTGGAATTACGAGGGCTCCACTCTGCTCAGAGGGTGAGCCAGCCCTCCAGCCAATATCACGCACCCGGTCACATCAAGTCCCTCGCAGCACTCCATCAGACGCCAGGACCTGCAGGGACTTGATGTGACATTCAACAAAACAAAACAGGAAACAGGGGAAGAAAGAAAGGAAGGGAACAGAGAGGGGAGTGTCCCCCTAAGGTCCGTGCATCCAAGGCCTGGCCCCCACCTGCGGTGCTACTGGGAGATGGTGGGGCCTTATGGGAGGCCCCTAGGCACTGAGGACGTGCCCTTGAGGGATTATGGGATGTGGGGCTCCTCTTCCTTTCCTTTCCTGACCTAGAGGTGACCAGCTTGCTCCACCTGCACTTTCCTCACTGCCCTCTGGCAAACTCACTGAAGACGGAAAATGAATGAACCGACTTCTAAACTCGGAGTCAAAATGGCCCTTGCACATTTTCATTTGATTATCACAGGTTTTTGTTTCAATTAAAAAAAAAAAACATTTCAGAGGCTTCAATTCCTACACTGCAAAGAAGGGATTAAAAGAAGTGACATGCTCATGTTAAATCTCTGCCTGCCTAGGAGGGAGTCCTGGGCATATCTTCATAGGAGTTTATGGAACAAGAAGGATACAGAAAGAAATGAGTTCAGAGGTCCCAACAGCCTTCTCTGCCATTTCCTAGCTGTGCAACTTTGTTCAATTTATTTAACCTCTCTGAGCCTGAGTTTTATCAAAGATTAGGTTAGGGGGGAAAAAAAGGTTATAAATTGCTCTCATACAAAAATGGTTTCACTTATAGATGGTAATCAGGACACATGAACTCAAGGAAACCAGGTTTGAGTATGAAGTGAGCTATTCATTTATTCAATGAACATTCACTAATACCTCCAGACACATGGCTAGGCACTGGAGGAGAACAGTCCCTGTCCTTCAAGTTGAAGGCGGCATCATGAAGACTAGCACAGTCGGGCTTCCAGCCTTCCTTTTGGGGGCTCAGAATTAGAAACATAAGCCCAGTTTCTCTGCATGGGACAGACTGATATGTATAAGGCAAGACTGGCCTAAATCGTTTTTAAGTGTTTGGTGAAGAGTCCAGCCCTTCAACTGCAGATGAAGTCCATGCTGAGTTCACAGAGGGCTACCCACTGGGGACTCAGAGTTGGATACAGATGAGCAGGACTCATTTCAGCAACTTAAAATTCTCTCCGAATTCATGATTCGAGCACTCTGAACCGAACTTGAACCCCTTGGCATTCACATTGGCTTATACAGTTTTGATTGCAAGAAAAGAGAATTTTAAATAGTCATTAAACAAGGTGAAAAGCCTTATTGGACACGAATTGGCTCTTAAAGAATATTACGATGATATAAAGCTCAAATAGGTCAGAAACTTATGAAAGTCATTTCCCTTAAATAAAACATGATTTTAAATATTCAAAGGAGAACACTTTGCCAAACGTACTTGGTGTTTTAAAACATCTGAATAACTGCAAGAGTGTTTGCTCATTCCAAAGACACTGGGCTGGGTGACGGAGCATCTGCATCGGGACCGGGAGCTCTGAGGGGCCTAAGCCTGGGCACTGAGCCATCCACACAGCCTGCGGGTCTCTGGGCAGAGCCAGGCGGACTTCCCTTGTTGTCCAACCATGAAGGCCACTTACACGGGAGCATTGCAGGCTCAGATTAAGGGACCTGTTGGCACTGCATACGCTGTGTCCGAGCTGCCTGCTCTTCAAATAGAATGTGAACTTCTTAAAGGACAAGAATAGGCCTTTCCACTGTTGCACTACCCAACACCTAGCACGACCAGGCAGGGGAAAGGACTGAGTAGGTGAGTCACAGGAAGGGGAGGAGGGAGGGAGGGAGGGAGGGGAGGGGAAAGAAAATGCCCAGACAATGAACAGTAGAAACAGGAATAGATGAGTGAGTGTGTGGATGGGTAGAGGTGTAAACTGGGTAAGGTAAATGGGAGACGGAGGCTAGGCTGAGTGGGTTCATATTTAGAAGGATGTATAGACAAAAGGACAGAAAAATAGATTAACAAATAGGTGAAGAAAAGGAAGGGAGAGATGGATGGACGGATGGCTGGCTGGATGATGGATGGGTGATGGACAGACAGATGGATGAATGGGTGAATAGATGGATGGATAAATGAAGAAGAGGCCTGCTGATTAAAGGAACGACCTAGAAATTCCAACTTAATTCTAGTCCCAGGTTTCAACTTCCCTCCTAAAATATCGCATTCACTCTCAAAGGAGGGGCCCATAATCCCTGAATCCCCAAGTAATACTCTGATGTTTCTGTTCTTTCCAGTCAACAAGGAAGCAACATGTGGAATGAACAAAGCAACAGGGGCTTCAGAGAATCTGACCCTCTAGGCCTTGTGACCATAGCTAGTCGCCTTAGACCCCTGTGACATTGTTTCTCAAAGATGCATCCAACATGGCCAGGTGCCTCTCAAGCAGGCACCGCCCTCTTCCTTGCCAACAGTATTGTGATTTGATTTCAGAAGCAATTCACCCAACCCCAGAGGGCAAATCACAGTGGGCCTGTGTCGCAGAATCTCATCACATTGGCCAGGGACCAGTTCTGGTCTGTGAGAAAGAAGAGAAAGTTGAGGATTTCTGGGGATGAAAAGCAGCAGCCAATTGAAGAGAAAAAAAAAAAAAAACATTTCTTTCTGCTCTGGGTTTTGTTGCGGGAAGCCTGGTGCTTTGAGCTGCACAGTCAGCTCTTTCCTAATCTTGAAGAGAAAGCCATGAGGTTTCACCAAGGCTGACCCAGACTCGGCATTGCTGGGGACGATAAGCTCAGAAACCATTATTGTTATACAAGTCTCATAAAAAACAGAATGTCAGGTGTCATTCTACATTAATTTGTTCATTTTCACTTCCTAAGTACAGGCATTTTATCCTTTCCCTTGTTGTCCAACCAGGAAGGCCACTTAGACTAGGCATCTACTTATCCATTGATCAGTCCATACATCCATCAGTTGACCTGTCAATCATCTCTCCTACCCTTTGCACAGCGGTACCCACCCATGCACACACTCCCACCTCACCATATTCATCAGCACACATCACTGATTAATAGACCTATTTTTCTACCCACCCATAAACTCCATTCATTTCCCCTCTGATAAAAATGAGACACAGAATGGGTAAGAAACTCACCCGAGGCACAGTTAGTAAATGGTAGAAGTAGGATTTGAAAGCAGTCAGTAGACTTGCACATAACCACCACACCATACCACTTTCTCTTGTTTGCAAAGGGTTTCATTTTGAATGCAGCCAAAATCATGCCAAGTTATGCAAAACCTATTTTTCTACTCTGCATGGTTATCACGAACGTGAGTTGGTGCCAGTGATTCATGTAATATTCAAAGCCACCATAAAAAATATCTACAATTATTCTCAAATGTGCAAGTTAGGGAAAAAAAAAAAAGGATTACGAAGGCTCAGTCACCTGGCAGAGTCCCAGAGCAGGTAAGTGGCAGAGCTGGGCCTGGAAGGAGCCCCGGTGCCCCTGGCTCTGAAGCTGACTTGCTTTTCATCTCACTGCCCTGCCTTCCTGGGAGACGCTCATTTCTTGCACAGTCATAAGGGAGACCCAGAGGACTCCTCGGTGATGCTAATGGAACCTGACTTCCAAGCTGAAAATAGTCCAGCGGACCAGAGAGTGGATTGGAGAACGGGCAGGGTGTTCAGTTCTCTCAGATGCCCCTGAGGCCTGTTCTGCTCAGCTCCACCCCTGAAAGGTCACCTCAGGTCCCAGCAGGATGATTCAGAAGGACTTCTTCTCCCTCAGGAAATGAAAACTTCCTGCTTTAGAATCCTCCATCTTTCCTCACTGTGAGTCTTTGCAGTCTTGCTGCTCAGAAAGCATTTTCTGCACCCTCTGGGGTGGTCCTCAAAGCCTGGAGCTTGGCTCAGGCACATGGAAGGGGCAGAGGTGCAGTAGGAGGAGAGCAAGACAGTGGAGAGCTCCGGGGGTCTGGCAGGTAAGAGTCAGAGCTGTGACCTGGAAAGCTCCAGAGATCAGTTGATCTCACACCTTCAGTTACAGACAGAGGATGCAAGACTGAAGGACTACCACCGTCCCCTGGCAGGCACTGTGATGTCGGAGCTCATTTAGTCCCTAGGGAAATCAGAGCTTCAAGTGATAACTTGAAGAGAAAACAAAAGGTCAAGGTCACAGAGCCAGGAAGTGGCAGTGGCAAACTCTGCAGGCAGCATGTCTGATCCCCAGACCTCTGCTCTTCCCTCAGTTCCCTGTCCCCATGAGCACAGGGGAGGGAACAAAAATCCAGGAACTAGGAGGGGACAGTCCAAAAGAACACTGAGGACAGAGGAGAGACCCAGAGGCAGGCCGACAGGACATACAGCCCAGCGAAAAGGCAAGCCGAGTCGTCGTGCTGTGCACAGCTGCAGGGCCAGCACAGCTGCAGGGCGGGGTGGGGAGGTCCCTGAGCTTCATGGGGTTCTCCCAGGGAGCTGGTAAGCTCTGCTAAGCACCACCGGTTTAGGGAGATTAAGGGAGCAGTATCAGGGACTCCCTCCAGTAGGGGTGTGTGTGTGTGTGTGTGTGTGTGTGTGTGTGTGTGTATATGTGTGTCCTTATCTCTTTTTTTTTTTAAAGAAAGAGTGATAGAGGGAGAGAGAGAATTTTTTTTTAATATTTATTTATTTATTTTTAGTTATCGGCGGACACAACATCTTTGTTTGTATGTGGTGCTGAGGATCGAACCCGGGCCGCACGCACGCCAGGCGAGCACGCTACCGCTTGAGCCACATCCCCAGCCCCATGTCCTTATCTCTTTAGCACACACAGCCATCAGTCTGTTTTTCCTGGTAGGCAGTTTTCTTCACAATTCTTAAAAAAGTTTCCATTCTTTTCTGACAAAAAACAATGGAAAATATGAGGGGGGAAAAAAAGAAATTATGAACAAAAATCTAAGTGTCATGATCTAGTACTGCTAGACTTTCTCTGTGTGGGGGGACATGGTATGACCCCTGCTACACATTTGTGATAACTCTTCTATACTGGGAAACAATGGACCCACCAAGGAGCCCCTTCCCCACTGAGATGCCAAGCTGAGCCATGTCCCCCAAAACAGCCCCCTCCGTGTGCAGGTTTAGCACAGAGGGAGCAGGTCCGGCCACAGAGGAGTCCAGCTCCAGCTCTAGCTCCCCACTCGGTGGCGGTGATGTCAGTAAGCCTCATCTTGCCGACAGGTTGTTTTTCCATCCTTACTACAATAAGATAAGACCAATAAAGTCAAACACAGTAGAAGCAACAAACAAATGTGAATTGCAAGAATTACCAGGAAAGACTGTATACAAATGCAGAGTCCCAGGATGGATGTTTTGTCCCAGGGAATCCCATCCTCTCCCCTTGGGCCTGTAGTCAGATGTGGATCACGCCCAATCACTGCCTCTCTGACCCTGAGCAGGTGAGACACAGAAAGTTTCTAGGTCGTTGCATGAAAAATTGTGAGCACTCAATTGATGATAGCTTTCTTTCCTTCCAATTCATTTATGAACTCATCCTGAAGAAAACCTGAACCATGGTTATAAAAATTCGTCACAAAGTTAAGGCATCTTTTGATGCTACTTGGTGCTTTCTAAGCACCTACTAGACTCCCTTTTCTGGACCTTAAGCCCTGAGGACTTGGTCTGTCTCATCTTCCCCACCTGCACCAGTAAGAGGAGTGAAATCTTCAAGGATATCTCAAAGAAGAATCATGCAGTATTTCTGACATTTACATTTATTTCACGTGTCTTCAAGATTCATTCATGTTGTCATATGTGGTATAATTTCATTATTTTTCTAAGTTAAATAATATCTTATTGTGTGTACAGACCATGTTAGCTTTATCCATTCATCTGGCAACAGACTCTTAGGTTGTCTGCACACCTTGGCTATTATGAATAGCCAGCTGATCTTGGCTGATAGTTCTTGAAGGGATCCTGATTTCAGTTGTTCTGAATAAATACCCAGAAGCACAATCACTGGATCATGCAGTAGTTTTTGAGAAACTTCTATTCTGTTTCCCTAGCAGTGGTACCATTTTACATTTCCACCAATGGTGTGCAAGGATGCCAACTTCTTCACATCCTCACCAACACAGGGTGTTGTTGTTCATAATAGCCTTTTGGATACACTGAATCCTTTGGACCTTAGGAGACCCCTTGAAAGAAACTTAATAGTTTTCTACATGGTTTTTGGACACCGCCGCATGTGGACCCAGGGCTTAGGCATGGTACAGCAAACCACACAGGCTCCATCATCTTAGGGAGCTTTTCCTTCTGATGTGGGAGAAGACACAGATAGCCATGGGGTGAACATAAAAGGGCCAATGTGAAGGGAAAGGTCTATGAAGGCCAGAATCAGGTGTCTAGGAGGTTGTCTGGTAGGGGACAGATGGGGAGAGTATCCTGGCTGAGGGAAGAGTGTGTCACTGTCCTGAGGTTGATGAGCAAGGGGATTCCTGAGGACATCAGCAAGGCTGGAGTACAAAGGAAAGAAAGGTTACCACGTCCACTTTCCAGAGGGTCTGGCCTGAGCACTTGGACCTTGGCAGGGTGGGCTACACCAAGACCTAGACAGGGAGTTGGGGACCATTTACAATCTCCCTCTAAGAAATGTGCCTCTGCACAGGCTTTACCAATAATTAGCCCAGCGTTTTGCTCTCCATTTGCTGATTCCCTTGGCTATTTCTCCGTAGCTTCAAAACCGTAGCAGGGGAGAGGGATTTTCGCTCTGGGTCCAATTACAGACCCTGATGCTGCCGCCACCCTCGTGGCCCACTGTCTGGCACAGGGCCTGACACAGAGGAAGCAGTCATGTGGGGAATGAGCAGTACTGTCTGACATTTACTGAATGTCCCTCACGTGGGAGGCACTCTTGTAAACACTTCATGTGATTGGGTGTTTTCCTCTGTTTTGTTTTATTTTGTTCATAACAGCCCCTCAGGGCTGATTTCAATCACCGCATTCTCATGGTACAGAGGAGTAGAAGGAGGTGCAGAGTTTCCATAACTTGCCCAAAGCCACAACCTGAAGAATTAGCAAAGGTGACCTCAAACCCCGTCAGCGCAGCTCCACTGAGGGCAGCCTTCGCCTCTATTCTCCAAAGCACCTGGTTCCAATGACCTTACAAATATTGTCTCCCTTTAATGGCAGTGCAAAGAACCTGTAGGCATGTGCAAGGAATAGAAATGCTTTATACTTTGACGAATCACAAACTGGATGAGTTGGGAATTGAGCATGGAAAGCAAGTCATTTAATGTAAATTTTGTTTCATTCCTAGCATTGTGAAAAACATGGTGATAGAGGGAGTAATCCCTGCTTTGCATTCATGTATTTAAAATTTATAGGTAGATATAATTGTGTGGGGGGTTTAGAGGACACCTTCAATTACCCCCACATCAGGATAAAGAGATGACCAGACATGGCTTGCCTGAAAGGGCATCCTTGGCTCTGCTCCTCTGGGAGACTGCATACTGGGGTCACACCCAAACCCTGTCCTACATGAAGGTACATCCATTCTGAGAATAAATCTAACCACGCCTGATCCCCTCAGACAAGGGCACACAATGCCTGTCATAGGAGATCAGAACAAACTGGTTGGCATAGTTTATCTCTTTGGTCTTCTAGTACTTTCCCTCTTCAAAACTTACTCATTCATACCAAAGCTTGTTCAAATAAATCTTCTGAACAGATCTAGCATAGTGGGTATAACTGTTTTATTACAAGATTTTTAAAAACCAAAAAGCATCTGGAATCTTTTTGGCTCAGGACCACAACATTAAAGCCCAGTTCTTTAATGAGTTACTACTCTGCACCTGGTGGAGTAGAAACCACGTATAGAATAGAAACGTTAAATACATTCAACTGATTTTAAAGCAATATGACTACTAATGATGACATGCAGGATAATATTTATTTTAATTAAACAGTGAGGAAACCAAATCTCTGGAAGATCAAGTGAATTGCTTAGATTTGCACAGCAAAGCCAGGATGTGTGCCCAGGTCCTTTCCAGATACTGGAAAGGCATTGTGGTCCAGTCAAGGACTTATATCCTGATCAAATGATTTCAGTTCACCAGAGTAAACTTGTAGTTGCTGAAACAGTCAGTGGTATGATAATTTTGCTTCAGATAAACCTCAGAATTCACAGTATTATCACTGCCTAGAGTCTGGCATATTGACTAAAAGACCAGTGACATCATTTCATCATGAAATGTCATCTGGTAATACCTGAGCTGTCTATTTTCCAAGAACAAGGCTGCAGTCACATCCTCCTTACAGTCATAGAAGGCTCAGTGCCACCGGCTCTTCCTGCCATTATTCTCTTATAGCTTCTACAGTCAGCCAGTGTCATCAAGCCAGGAGAACATGGCCCTGGCTGATGGAGACTTTCAGCTAATGAAGCATTGAATACCTGAGGGTTGATTATACATGAAAAGCAGACAGAGAAAATTGGTATGCTTCAGCAAAGCTGATGAGCACAGAAGAGCCATGTGATCAGAGTGCTAACTCTCAAAGCACTGGGCCCATGGAATTCCTCTGTGAAGAATTTACCCTGCAGGTAATCCACATGTGTGTGGAATCACACGTGCATCAAGATATTCATGGTAGCATTGTTTGTAAGAAGAAAGGTTGGAAACCATTAAACCGTCCATCAATTGGGGCTAGGTTAAATAAGACATAATAGAAGTCCACAGTCTTATGTGGAATCTTGGAGCTGTTTTTGTTTCACAATGCAGGTTTTCCTTTCA